TAGTTTTTAAAAAGATGGAAATCTTGACACCTGTTTCAACATGGAAAACCTTGAAAACATAATGCTAAGTGAAATAAACAAGTCACAAAAAGACAAATACTTTATGAACTTGCTTTGTGAGGTACCTAGAATAGTCAAAGTAATAGAGACAAGTAGAATAGTGGTTTTCAGAAACTGGAGGGAAGAAGGAATGGGGAGTTATTGTTTAATGGGTACAGAGTTCAGTTTTGTAAAATGAAGAGTTCTGGAAATGAATGGTGCTGACAGTTGCATGGCACCATGAATGTACTTAGTGCCACTGAACTATATACTTAAAAATGGATGATAGTAAATTTTCCTTACGTATATTTTGCCATGTTGAAAAAAAATGGAACAATTAAAGAGGACTTGGAAGTGAAGGGAAGTAGCTGCTATAAATATTCCTGTGCAAGTTTTATATGAATATAGTTTTTATTCCTCTGGGATAAATGTCCAGGACTACATATGGTAATAGCACATTTAGTTTTTAAGAAGCTGCCAAACTGTTTTCTAGAATAGATACATACACCATTTTATATTCCCACCAGCATTGTATGAGTGATCCAGTTTTCTTATATGTTTGCCAGCAATGAGTGTTGTCATTATTTTTCATTTTAACCAGCCTGATAGGTATATTGCGATATTTCATTGTGGTTTTAATTTGTGTCTTCCTAGTCACTAATGATGTTGAATATCTTTTCATATGATTATTTGCCATCTGTATATCCCACCCAGTGAAGTGCTGCTTCATATCTTTTGCCCTTTTTTGTTGTTCTTGTTGTTGCATTTTGGGAGTTCTGTATATATTCTAGAGGCTAGTCATTTGTTATGTATGTAGTTAGTAAATGCTTTATCTCTGCTTGTAGTTTGTCTTTTCATTCTCTTAACACGGTCTTTTTTGAAGCAAAAGTTTTTAATTTTGCTCTAGCTCAATTTATCTTTTTTTTCTTTTATGGATTGTGTTTTTCTTGTTAAGTCTAAAAACTTCTTACCTGGCCCTAGATCTTGAAGATTTTCTTTTATGTTATTTTCTAAAAGCTTTATAATTGTATGGTTTACATTTAAGTCTGTGAACCTTTTGAGTTATTTTTTATATAAGCTGTGACACTTAAGATTTATTTGGTTTTTGCCTGTGAATGTCCAATTATGTTACCACCATTTGTTGAGAAGTTTATCTTTCCTTCACTGAATTGTCAAAAATCAGTTCAGCATATTTGAAGTTTGTCACATTTTCTGCTTCCAAGTAATGCTGATAATACGGGTCATGTGTGACTTAATTTGTGCTTCTTCATGACCTTAGAGGTTTTGAGGGTGGAATGTGTGGACAGATCCAGATTACAGTGGCTGCCATTACCCTTTAAACTCAGGAGCCTGTACAATGTATTAATTTATTGACCAAAAGGCATCATGCAATTCCTAATAAAATTGTGCAATAATGGGATACTTGGAGGGAAAACTGGCATTGTAGTAAAATTATAATTTACACAATAGATTTCTTTTTATAATGATGACAATAAAGATGTGTGGACTTGAATTATAGTTCTCAGTAATTATTTTCTCACAATAACTGAGATGTAGGGACAGGAACAGGAATCATATATTTCAACACTAAAAAGGATTACACTGTACAGAGTATTAGAACTGAAAGACAAGTTAGATAAAGTTTAATCGAACTCACTATCAAATTTTTATGTGCCATTCATTCATTGCATTGCACACGCTACATATATTGGCTGGCTGCCTTCCTCTCTTTCTGCCTTCTCTTTTCTCAAATATTTAATAAACACCTGAAATATTTTGGATTAAGTAATGTGGTTGTAGTGTCCTCAACAGAGTTTACATCAAGTACAGTTCATTTTAAAGGGATGAACTTGGCTCAGAGGTTTGATGGTGCCCACTGGTACAAGTTTATAGGCCTTGAAAACAAAAGTTTACTGCAAAGCTTTTCCTCTGTATCTCCTAAGCAGTGTGAGGTCCTGGTACCACCTAACTTCCACCTGCTTGAATATCTCAGGACAATTCACTTGCTATTGCTGTAGTTTCCTGCCTATTGTCAAGAGGCTTATCCTTCAAATTATTCTTTGGGTGCTCTTGAAATATATACCTCCTGTATGCCCAGGTTGTCTCTTGTTGAATTTTCATTGTGATTGAAGGACAGAATGTTCTTCTCTGCTGCGCCCATAGCACTTTCCCATACACACTCAGGAAAAGCTTTTCCCCCTCTCAACAGGGCTCAAAAGTCTTGACTGGAGTGCCTCAGAAATAGACCTGGTTTATACCTTTATAAAAACAAGCAGAGTCTAGGCAACTCCTCGCTTGGAATAACACTAATGGTTTGAGTTTCTCTGAGGCAAGCACATGGATGGTACTCTCAAGAAGCACATGTCTAGCACTTGGAAGCGCCAGCCCTGCTTTGTGGAAAGTGGAGGTGGTATCTTGTGAAAAGAGAGTCTGGCGTTTACTGGGAGAAGAGGCTGATGGCATGTGGAAGGCATGGTATAGGAACTGAGCCCAGGATGTCTTGAATTCTCCTACACTATAACCCTGCAGAGAGAGAAGGTGAATTTTCTATTTTTTTCTTGATGGAATATGCTGATAGTCCATATGTGCATGTAGAAAATAATTAAAATAACAATCAGAAATAGCAAAGGAAGTATCTCAACCTGGAATTTGCACAGGATTCTGTTCTGAGCATGCTGGCTTACTTTGAAGGTTCCCCAGAGGAACCTGTGTAGTTCATCTCTCTGTCTCCAAGAGCCCTCGGCCAGTTGCCTCTTTGTACTGAAATGGCAAGAGCCAGGATTCTTCTTCTGGCTCAGAGTTGGACTAGTGGGAAGGAGAAAGTTTGTTTTGTCTGTGAAGTTCTCATCATGGGTGAAACTTTCTCAACTAGCACGCAACAAGGTTAACAACAGTGGAACCTAGAAATTTTTCTTCTTTCTCCACACGCCACACACGCCCACCCCTGTTTATTCTGGGCTAAGAAATAAAAGTCTAAAAGGGACTTGTATTTTGGTTCCTGGGACTGTTAAACAGTTTCTGCCCCTTCTCTGCAAACCTCCCTAATATTGGATCTTTTTTTCTCTCCTTTCTTCCTTAATAGTGTTTTATCTGAAATGTAAAATATTGGTTTTGAGCGCAGGCTTTGAGACTAGATAGTGCCTAGTGAGGTGAGGTGTGAGGTGGCTTTGGCATCTTATTAAAACTTGTAGTAATGTCCTTTTTTTATCTATAAAATGGAGCTGCATTATGTTCAGGTGGTTGCGAGAACTAAGTGGCAAAATGTATATGGAATGATTAGCATATTGCCAGACACATAGTAAGCTCTCAATAAATGGCATCCATCATTATTATAGTAGGTAATCTCTTTACAGTACCTAGAATTGTTTGGCATTAGGCAACCAAAAACTGGTAAAAATTATTATTAGATTCCGGATTTTAGTGGCTTGTGAGGGCCTTCAAACTGAGCATACTTCCTACGGAGATCTATCAAGTGTTTTATGTTTTCTTTCAAAATCTGACCAAATAGTCTGGTAGTAGATACGCTATTTAATTCTAACAAGGTACAGCAATGCCTCTGGCTTGTTGTTTTCTAGAGACCCCTATGCATATTTCAAGTTTTACCTTCGAAAGCAAGAGGCACATCCTAGTGAATAGGCCCAACTCTCATATGGGACAAGACTTCTTAAGAGTTACATGGCATGGCCATATGCGGTGGCTCACGCCTGTAATCCCGAGGTGGGCAGATCACCTGAGGTTGGGAGTTCGAGACCAGCCTGACCAATATGGAGAAACCCCATCTCTACTAAAAAATAAATACAGAATTAGCCAGGTGTGGTGGCACATGCCTGTAATCCCAGCTACTTGGGAGGCTGAGGCAGGAGAATTGCTTGAACCCCTGAGGTGGAGGTTGCAATGAGCTGAGATCATGCCGTTGCACTCCAGCTTGGACAACAACAGCAAAGCTCTGTCTCAAAAAATAAAAAGAAAGAAAGAAGAAGAGGTACATGGCAATTGAACTGGGTAAGCACTTATTAATTATTCTGCCATCTATCCAGCATGGCCTTCAGAGAGTTAACAGTCAAGTATGAAGATTAAGTTTCAGGACATTGGTGCCTTAAACCTTAGGTTTTTGTTTGTCTGTTTTAATTAAGAAAAAATGTAAGCTGGGGTTGTGGCTCATACCTGTAATCTCAGCACTTTGGGAGGCTTAGGTGGGAGAATTGCTTGAGCTCCAGAGTTCAAGACCAGCCTGGGCAACAAGGTCAGACCCTGTCTCTACAAAATAATTTAAAAATTAGTTGCGTGTGGTTGTGCATCTTTGATCCCACCTACTTAGGAGGCTGAGATGGGAGGATTGCTCGAGCCCAGTAGATAGAGACTGCAGTGAGCCGTGATCATGCCGCTGACTCCAGCCTGGGGGACAGAGCCAGACCCTGTCAAAAAA